TAGATATTAGTTTAGTTTAGTAAATTTAGTTTATTTTATACTCTTTGAAACATTCTCTACAATCGTAATATTTTCAATATGTTGTCAAAAAATTACGAGATTGTAGAGAGAATTTTTTAATGAGTAAAATAATTTATTGTTTAAAAAATCATTATTTGACAAAAGATTTTGACTCAATATATTATTTTTTCTGAAATTTGTAGAACTAGATCTTCTAAAATTGATTCAAATAATTTTTTAAATTAAATAATTGACTTAAATTCTGAGAAAATGTTTTATGTATGTTTGTTTTGTTGCTTATGTTCTTTTTACTTTGTATGTCAGAGTTATGCGTGATTATTCAATAACATGAAAATAAGAAGGTAAGGTTAGGTTTGTTTATTTTTTTTAAATAAAAGTCAGATAGCAATAATGAAAGAACTTTAACAAATTAATTTTATTTGTTAAAAATATTCTACTTTCATTTATTTATTCCGTTGTATAAAACTTAAGCAAATATGACGGATATCTCCAAACAAATTTAAAATTATGTTTACTGATAGTTTTACCTTGATTAAACGTTCATATATCTTAAAAAACACAAACATAACCTGAAATTCGTTTGAAGCTTGGGTCCCTTTCACCGTGCAGCGTCACATATATACAAAATTTTCATTCCAAAAAATAATTAAAAATTTACAACTTGATTTTTGTTATTTCTCTCATTATAATTTTATAATATTCATGCTTTCCAACAACACTTTCAGGTACAATATTTAAAACTAGTTTTAAAACTTTACCAATTCCTTCCACTTGCATTTCTAAAATTGACATAATTTCAAATTCATAACCAGGTAAAAGAATTACTTTCTTTTCAGTAAAAGATTCAATCTCGTCGACCTCTGTTTTGATTGTTGCTCTAAAATAAGTATCAGTAAATTTCATTTCATAAAGAATATTTATAAAACCGTAAGCTGCATGTGCAGAAAATATCGTGGCAGATGTTATACTTAATGAGGTTAGTGTAAATTTTTGAAAAATAATTCGATTTCCCACAAATAATTCTTTATTAACAATATCCATTGGTTTTGATTCCAATCGAAATAATGTCCATTCAAATTCTTCTCGTAAATCGTCAGATTCTCTTATAGATAATTTATATAGGGCAAGTTTCATTAGTTTCGCTTCACGTGTGTCTCCAGTTATTCTTTCATATCCTGATGTCATAAAATTTCGTATAGCATAGTAATCTTCAAATGACACCGAAAAACCTGCTTTCTGATGATTGAAATTTTTAATTATATTTTCTATCGTTGTTCCTTCTTCTATCTTCCGTCTTTCTCGATACGTATAATGTGAATTGATTCTATATTTTCCTTCAGTGACTGTTATATTGTTGTTTTCTAAAAGTTCATCGTACTTCAGTTTATTGAAAAGATTAGGATTGTCTATTTTACAACTTCTACCCCAATCAGATTCTTCAAATGTATCAAATTCTTCATTCTTTTTGTAATGTTTCCATTTTGAAGTAAAATAAAATAAAAATATTTCATCATTCTCTGGAAAGATGTAATTTTTCAATTCATGACGTATTTGTTCCTCAGTTGCAATATGTGTTCCATTAATAATTACTTTATTTTTTAGTAATTCTACTGCTCTTTCTTTCAGATTAATTTCTCTAATAAAACGCCAATGTCTTGAGCAATCATTAGAATATTTCCTTTGTTTTAAATATGTATCGTTCACACATTTTTTATTATCGTGATGATTCCATATACCAGAAAATCGAAATCTTATATATCTTTTTCGCAGTTGATTATTAATTTCATATATTAAATTATTTGTTTCAAATTCAAAACTCGCATTATTAACTTTAATATATGTTTTCTTATTTTCAGGAGAATCGGCAATTAGTGTAATAAATATCTTCTCTTCAATCTCATAATCAGTTCTTAATGATGCAATTACTGTTTCATAAATGTTTATAAACTTGTAACCATAACCAGTATAAAGTTTCAGAGCATTTACAAACAATGTTTTATCATCATTTTCACCAACTTTAGCAACGGCATTTAAAAAGTTATATTGGACAAAATTCATTTTTCTTAAAATATAACTGACAGATGTAAAATTATAATTAATCTTTTCTTTTAAATAAGAAATAATTAATTTTAATAATTCAATACTTCTTTGAGTTATAGAAATTGTTTCAAATTTAGGCTCTTCTATATGTAAAGAAACTTGTTTAAAAAATGTGATATTAGCTTCACTATATGGTGAAACTTCAGATACATTATACGACACTACTATTTTATTAATCAAGCCCTTCATAAATATTGTTTTTATATTTGTACCCAAAATAGATAAAAAATGTCGTGTATTAAGATTTGTTATTTGTGATGTTATATTTTCTGGAAATTTATTTAAAAAATTTATGTTATCTTTCTCATACAAGTATTCTTCGTTATTATGATAGTTGGCGATTGTTGATAAACTAGGATAAAATGGCACCAATGACAATCCAAATTCCTTCGACCATTCATGACTTTTCAAAGTAAAATTCAAAAAATTTAAATATGACTTAAATCGTTCTTTTTTGTACTTCATTAATTCTGCACAAAGTTCATTTATTCCTTCATTAGCAAACTTTACAGTGATTTTCGTTGGTAATCCTTTAAAATCATAAAGAGATGGTCCCATTTGTTGCTCAAAGTGTTCTGGATCATCATCTTCTTTAATAAGTGTAACAGTATAGTTTTTTCGTATTAAAGCATAATAATTTGAAGTTTCGTTCTTATTGTAATAAAATTCAAGCAAATCATAGGATACATATTGCAAATCATTAAAACTACCATTTATCAGTTCATTGTTAGTAACAACCAAATTTATTACAATATCATGAAGGTCATCAAATAAATATTGCTTAAAACATTGCTTTGTTATTTCTAAATCATAATTCCCATATAGTTCAGCCAAATTATGAATTTGATCCTTATACAAATCATTAAGGTTGGGTAAAACAACTGTAGGACTACATTTAATATTAACGGAAAGTTGAACATAATCAACAATTTTACTCTCTCTAAGTTTATCACTCAAAAAATTGCAGTTTGAATCTACAATTGATTTTGCCATCGAATACCGATTTTGAAAATGTGAAAAACCTAAATGAAGTTTATATATATAGTCATTCTTTAATTGATCTTCTATTTGGTCAAAAACACTGGTTACGTATTCCTGAAACTGATGAAAAGCCATTTCCCAATGATGAGGATCGAAAATTAAATTTGTTATGCTTTCATATTTTACTTTATCTTCAGGAAAAATATAATAGAAAAGAGCTGGTAGAGCGAAAACTCTCAAAATTAGAGGATCCATTTTCTTATTGTCAAGTAAATTCCTAATTATGTGACCTATTGTCAAATATTCATCAAACAAGTTTTCTTGAGAGTATCTAGAATTATTGTTATCGATATTAGAATAGTAGGTATTTTTTATTCTTCCACGTCGAAGATACATCGAACCAGCTTGTGCAAAAATATAATCAAGAGACAAAATACTAACATTAGTCTTTGGTTGAGGAAATATTGGCAAAATTATATCTGTATATATTCTATTGACTGCTAATTCAGTAAGAACTGAGGTAGATCCATATTCATTTTCGAATATTGCATTTTCTAGTGTTTCCTTAATTTCCTTTAAAACATAATGAAATTTTAAACTTACTACCTTACGAATTGTTTCGGCCAAAAATCCATAAATATTTCCATATTTGTCAAATACAAGAGAACTAATTATGTATTCAAACATTGCATAAACGAAAATTTCATCAACTTCTTCATTATCTTCTTCGCCGTAGAGATCACTGCCTTGTAGTAAATGGCGAATTAATTTTACCTGCATAGTTTTATTATCATGATGATCTTCCAAATATTGATAAAGTGCATTAACAATCGGGATTTGTTTATTTTTATCTTCTGCAATCAATTTTTCTTCAATGAACAAAAAATCACTAAGTAGATTTAAATAATGAAAGACTGGTATGAACTGTACAGTTGCTAGTGGACTTCTTGAAATTAATGTATCCATTTTTGAGTATTTTCTTTTACTCTAATAAATTTAATTTAAAATTAATAATGTGCATTGATTATTTAATTTTTTATGTTACTTTTGATCAATCTGTGAGTAAAAAAATAAATTTTGCGTTAATGAAAAAATTGAATAATTAAATAATGACATATTTTTAATTGAAAAATTACAATTTAATAAAAATGTCCTACCTGATATTCTTCATAATAAAACACCGTATAAGTTGAAAATAAAAATCCAGTATTTAAATTATTCCCAAGACAAGACGGTTTTTTCATTTTCTATTTTCTTATAAATGTTACGGTTATCCGTATTTATATAAGTTGTTTTTTTATCAATATGAATATACATATTGATACAAGTGAAAAAAACTAGAACATATTACTTTTTACTGTACGCGTGTACAAACATACATGATATATTGTATTTGAAATTAAGAATTAGTTATATTGAAATAATTGTTTTTCTATAAAATAATAAATGGAAAATTTTTGTTTTTTCCTTTTATTAGGGTATTCCTAAAGTATACAGAAAAAATTTTTTTTTTAATGTTTTGATCTTACTATTGTTAATTTTGAAAAAATTTGAAATTAATTTATAATAAAAATTTGAAATAACAAATTCGATTATTTAAAAGAATATATTCATAAAAATTATATATCTTTGAGTGTAAAATAAATAACTGCTATCACTTGTGAAACTTGAACAATAATTATTTTTAGCGTTCTTCAAATTAATAATTTACATTTTATGACATATATTTCTTTAAAATTTTTTAAGTTTAAAATAATTTTAAAAAACATATATATATGTATATATATAATGTATCAATGCAATATATTATTTATTGTTATTTAAAAAGCATCCGATACCTTTTGATTATGAATTATTAGTTTCATTAAAAGTAAAAAATCCGCTACCAACTCTCTAAATCTGAATAAGTGAAATTTTATTTTCATCATTGAAAAAATTTATTAAAATATAATTCAAAAAAAAGAATTTAATTATAATTAACAAATTTATTTTAAAATAAATAAAATTATAATTGTTTCTTAATGACTTTAATAGCTCGATCTATTAATATATCACTGTGTCGTTTTCGATTTTTGTTATTTACCTTCTTATCTTTTAAAACATTATTCCAATCAATTTTACTTTTCATTTGGAAATTTTTACGATCTATCATTCCTGGTAAAATTTTCGTTGTTTCACTTTCAATGAAAATTTTCGAGGGATTCATAATTAATGATTTCACATTTTCCTCACGATCCAATTGCCATGGAAGTAATCCAAATGGACACAAACTCCAATTTTCTTTTTCTAAAAAATAATGCAAATTAATTTTTAAAATTAAAAATTTCTTTTACTGTGAAAAATAATATTTTTTAACTCAAAAAAAAAAAAAATTGCAATAATAATTAAAGATAGGAAAGTTTTTATGAAAGAGAAAAAAAAGAGAGAAATTTTACCTGAATCCAATTTCCAATTTGTGTTACGAATCGTTTGATCACTGAAATTCATCACAGATTCAATATTATTTTGTGAATTTTCTTTTTCATTTTGTTGATCAATTAATTCGTTAAGATTTTCCACAGTATAAATTGTGTTATCTTCAATATTACTAACATTTTCATCGTGAAAATTCATTGTTTGTATATTGAGAAGGGAAAGCAAGTGTTTTTGAAGTGTTACACAATTTTTTGGCATTACAAGTTCCATTAATGATGGCATGAATATAGGCGTAAATTCATTTGGATTGAGAAAAAGTTGTTGTACAAAATTTTGATTAATTCTCGCAAATGACACATCAATTGTACAATTAAGCCATGGAAATTTTAAATTTGAAAACATATTTTCCACATTGTTACGTAATTTAAGAGAAAAATGTTTAAAAGACAATTTTTTATTTTTACAATCATAATATTGATCCTCTTCTAAACGCATTTGTTGACTAATTTTATGTATTCTTAATGCATTGGCAATTGCACATAGCCATTGTGAGGCCACTCGTCTTTTGTGCTTTTTTTCATTTTCATTATTAACTAATTGTAATAGTTGTAAAAATAATAATTCTATTAATTTTTTTTCTTGCAACAAAAGAATAAATCCTTCCCAAAATTTAATAAAAGCATGGGGAAAATTGTCGTTGGATTTTGAATTTTGTTCGTTGAATAATTGTAAAAATTCGGCATTTGGTATAAAAACTTCATTATCACAGAGAACGGAACATATTGTCTCGCAATTATCAAGAAGAAATGATTTATTGAGACATGCCGATATTTCAGTTAAAAGAATTCTCTGTCCAGTAATTAATTTGAATTCTTTCTTATTTTCTAAATTTTCAGTTATATTTTCTGAATTCTCATTATTTTTCTGCTGTTGTAATGTGAATGTACGTAATTCCTGCAATGTTTCCCTGAATAAAATTCATAAGAAAATTTATTATTATTATTATTATTATTTTCATTAAATTGAATAAATAATAATAAATTAAATATAATTTAAAATTTTAATATTTTTTTTCCATTTAATTGTAAAAAATGTAAAATGAACATTGAATTACAAAAAGAGAAAAAAAAATGGAAATTTTAGATTTTGGAATATAAAAAAAATTTTACCGTAATTCTTGATCTGGTAAATCGGAGACTAGAGAATAATTGGCGTAAATATATAATCCAGTTGCGGTCCACAGTTCAATTAAATCGTCGAGAGCTTGAATTTCTTCGGAATCATTGTTGTCAGGCAATTCATCTTTTTTGTTGAAATAGTCAATCATATTTTTTATTTCAACAGTCCAGTATTCATCCTGAAAATTTGATTAACTTTTTTTTATAATGTAATTAAATAATAAGAATATTAAATTTTTATTATTAAATTGAATTAATAATTAAGGCAACAGGAAAAAATTTTCAATTTTTCTAACATTACAAAATTTTCCCTGACAAAAATTTTTTATTAATTTTAATAAATTATAGTAAAATTCTAATAATTTGAAGTCAGAGAAACGCTTTTTATTTTTACTCTTTTTTCAGTAGAACAGGGATCAATGAAATTTTTTTCTTGAAAATATGTAAAAAAAGTAAATTATTTACCGAAAATAGGTGACAAAAGGTGATAAAAAAAAGTGATGATTAAAACTAATTAACGTGCATATTAATTAATTTGAATTTATTTCAATTTCATTAATTATTGAAGCGTAAATAGTTTAAAATTTTGGTAAATTGAATTTTTTATAAATTAAAGGTTAAATCAATCAAATTTTTGATAATTTGAAATTCGGATAATTTGAAACTTAAATCAATTAAAATTTAGATAATTTAAAATTTGGATAATTTAAAACTTAAATCAATTAATCTTTAGGTTTAGAAAGATTGAAATTTCGTTAATTTTAAGTTATGATGGATTGAATTTGCATTTGATCAAAATTTTAATCCATAAATTTGTTTTTGCCAATAAAAATTATAATTCATTGAAGTTGGAGCAAAACCTTTTTTTTATTTGATTAAATTGAATTTTGGATAAATTGAAACCTAAATAAATCAAAAATTAGGATAATTTACAACTCAAATCAATAAAAATTTGGATAATTTTAAAATTCGGTGAAATTCGGATAATTTGAAACTTAAATCGATTAATCGATCGATTAAATTTTCATTTGATCAACATTTTAATTATAATAAATTTGTTCTGACCAATGACAATTAGAATTTATTGAAGTTGGAGTAAAAAATTTAAAATTTAGGTAAATTGAATTTTGGTTAAATTGAAACGAAAATTTGGACAATTTTAAACTTAAAATATTTAAAATTGAAATTCGAATAATTAGAAACTTAAATGAATTAAAATTTGGATAAATTAAAAATTATGATATTTTGAAATTGAAATCTATTATATTTTAGATAAATTGTATTTGTTTTGACCAATAAAAATTAGAATTGAATTAAATTGAAATTTTGATTAATTAAAATTTTTGAACAGATTCAAATTTGAATAAATTGAATTTTAGATTGATTATATTGATGGTTGATGAAAATTAGAATGAATTTAAATTTATTTTGATTACAATTTTAATCAATAAATGCTTCAACAAATTAAAATTTAGAATTATTGAAATTTGTCAGCAATAATTTTTAAATCGCAAAAATTTCTGATAAATTTAAACTTGAGTCAATTGAATCATTTATAGAAAAAAAATGAAAATCTGTAATTTTGTGTTCTTTAAATTAATATAGACTCAAGGAATGTTAAAAAAAAAATTTATTTAAAACTAATAAATTATTTTTCAACATTTTTGTGTCTAAATATTACATCTACAAATTAATTGAATTATAAGAAATGTGAAAAGGGTAAAAAATTATAAAAATAAGTAAATTTGTTAAATTTTCCAAATTTATCTGACAACAATGTTTTTTCGCTGACAAACAAAATTTTCCCTAATTTTCCTGCCTTGTGACTACACTGATTATTTTTTTAAATTTTAGAATCATTTCGAATGTTCGCAAATAATATAAATAGATTTTTATAAATTTGTAAATTTATTTTTTCAATTGAAAAATAATACTCACATGAAGCCAAGTTAAGAGAATATTAACGGCAATTCTTAAAACGCCAATTGAAGGTAATTCATGACCGTGTGCGGCGTCGTGTCTTAAATTTACAATCCATTCGGGAATATTTAATTGTTTTGCAATTTGAAATAAGGACGTTTGCTTCATATGTCCAATATTTGAAATATGATTAAGAAATCTCATTATAGAGAGTGAATACATCATGCACAAATCATTTTCATAGTGTATTGGTAATTCGGCTTTATCAAGTTTTTCACTCCATTCTCTGTCTCTCAATGATACTTGTATTAATGATAATGTACAATCAACTCCCACAGGTAATTTTGGATTTCTTTAAGAAAATTTTTTTAAAATTAATATAATTATTATTAATTATTAAATTAGTTTTTTGCAAAATGTTTATTTTATCCTAAATTTTAAAGAAAAGTTTAATTATTTATAACTTACCGTGCCTTCCATACGAGAAGAGTTTCATATGCTTTTTCTTGTTCTTCATGATTATTCGAATAGATTTGATTGTACACATCGTACCATTCGGCCCTAATGTTGCAGAAAAAAAGCGAATCTTAATTTTTTTTTTCTTTCGTAAAAAGAATTTTTACGTTGTAAAATTATTTCTATTTATTTCTTTATGTCCTAAATTTATTTTTAAATATTTTATTATTAATGATCAATATTTTTACGAGTTCTTATGTTAAATATTTAAATAAAAGTAATTTTTTTTAAACTTACTGATTATATCGACAAATGAAAAAAATTCAATCGTAATTATTAAAAAAACTTCAAAATTTTAATTAAAAATATTTTTAAATTATAAATTATTTTGTCTTTAAATTTTTTTAAAATCAAATTTACAAAAACACATCCTTATTTGGTTAAAAAAAATATACATCGCAAATATTGTGGGAATGTTAAATATAATAAATAAATAAATAATTAAGTATTATTTATATTATTTTTATTTTATTAAAATCTACTTATAATTTATTGTTATCACAAAAAATAAAAATATTTAATTATCAATACTCACATATGGAAATTGTTGTTATATTAAAATATTCTACAGAACTTGGATTATTTATTATTAGTATAATTAATAAAATAATATCAACATTAATAAAATTAATAAAAATACAAAAAAATATGAATGGAAACATTTTTTTTACTTACATAGAAAACCATGGAACATGCTTTAAATCATCACGTTTAACAGAAAGAGCCATAATTTTTTTTTAATTGTTGTCACTGAATAATATTTCTTGTTAATGTATCGTTCCTCATTTATTAATTAATTGTTATAAGCACACGTTTTAAGTTTACAATGTTATTTTAGGTTAACTTTTTGAAAACACGCATGTGTTACAAAGTTAGTGGAAAATCCAAGGTTATAATAATTGTAATAATAAGGGTGTATTAATATCACTCTTATGGTAAGTCCATATCACTTCGATTGCAATGCGTAAATAAGTAATATCCTATATAAATTACATTAATGTGAGAATAAAAGTTTTTTTAAATCCAAAAATGTTCTCAAAACTTTGAGTGGGTATAGATAAAAATTTTAAATCAGACAAATTTTAATTTTACAAATGGTTTTTATTATATTTTACAATTTTTTAATATTGAAATTTAGCGCGATGATATCTCGTTAGTTCGAGCTATCGAAGTATTCGATCGAGAATCACCGCTCGTTAAAGTACTACATTCAGAGTGATAGAAGTACAGAAAAAATTCTGTACTCACAAAAGTGTGTATTTTTAAAACAATAAAAAAAAAGAATTGTGTATAAAAATGTCTTGTAGATTATCAAATTTATTCCGACAACTATATATTAATTCACGAGGTATATTACTTTAATTTTTATTATGAACTTATTCTTACATTTTGTGAATTTAATAAACTTTAGAACACAATATAACCTCAATCTGTAAATAATTATATATTGTTTTTACATTTTTTTCTTAATTTTATCCAAGTTTATAATGACAAAAATTAAAGCAATTTTTGCGAATATTAACAACACTAAAAAATATTAACAATTATTATTTAAAAAATCTAAATGAAATTAACAATTGAAAAATAGATTGTAAAGCGGGAAATTTCAATAATTGAAAAAACGAAACTATTTTTCATTAATAATATTAGTAACAAAAGTTAGTTAAAAGTTTGCAAAAGTAAAATTTTAATAATTTTACTGCTAATAAATTTCGAGGTTATGTGTTTTAAATTGTGCTTTTAAGATTTTTTATGAGGTTTATTAATAAATTAATATTATTAATTAAATTTCTTTTACTATTTAAAATAAATAATTTAAATTATAATAAATTTTTAATAAAATGAAATGTTTTTAATTAATTTATATGTATGTTAAAATTTATTTATCAAAAATATAATTCTCAAAAAAAAAAATTTTTTAATTCAACAAAAATATTATTTTCCTTTTTTTATTTTTTCAATAAAATATTTTAGAAATAGGTACATGGAAATCAATTTTTACATTTCGGCTACACAATCAGGCCTCGGATTATACGACTTTTTTCGACTTATTTTAATAAAATGCAACTTTTTCGACTTTTTTTTACAATTTTTTTCCAAAATTTTTAAAACAAAATACATTTTTTTAGTATACAATGAAGATTTTCGTTATTTCAATTATTTAACAAATTTTTACCAAAATTCTTCACTAAATTAATTATTTTTAATCATTTTAATGAAATTCTTCTTAAATTTTTATAAAATTTAATAATTGTTTATAATTTTAAAAAAATTAGCAAATTAAATTAACAAAAAAATTTTTATTTAAAATCACTTGAATTTTAACTATTTGGAAAAAAATTTAATTTTTAATTATTGTCTAAAATTTAACACAATATTTTGAAATTCAATTAAAAAAAAAATGCCTTTAAAAATCTGTAAAACTTGATTAAGTATTGCCTGAAATTTTTTTAACCATCAAAACTAAAAACTATGACAAAATTTATAATTCAAATAAATTGCTTAAATCAGACATGCAAAAATTATAAAAATGGAACTTTAAGAATTTTTTTTTTTAGAAATTTGTCCTACTTAAATAAAATTATTGAAAATTTGTCTTACAATTAGTTCGATTATGAAATATTCGAAATAAATTTTTTTGATAATATTTTTATAGAATTATTTTCATTACAAAATTAATAAAATGAATTTAATATCTAATAGCTTTAGTTATTTAGAGTAAAATATTCATTAACCAATTAAATTTTGTTAAAATAAAAAAAAACGACTTTTTCGACTTTTTTTAGAAAATAAATTGACTAAAACGATTTTTTTGTGCCTTAAAGTCGATCCGAGGCCTACAAAATTCTAAGAAAAAAAAATTATATTTTATCAAATGAAAATTTTTATGATTTTTAAAAATCATCTTTTAAAATAAGAAAATTTATTTTATTTCAAAATTTTTCATTTAATTTCAGGTGTTTCAACATCCAGTTCACATATTAATAATCATACATCTCCCGCTGTAGTTTCGATTTTACAAAATTTAACAAATTCAAATTCATCACTGTCAAAAGAATTGGATTTAAGATTTTCGCCAAGAAACATTGACTTAGGATTTACAGTTCAATCACCGCCATTATTACCACAAATAAATATTATCGATAAGCCAATATCAATAAATCGTCATATAATAGAACCCATTGAAATAATTTATAACAAAGAAGACATAACTAGTGAAAAATCAATTGATCTTCCAACTCATGGTGATATTATTGAGAAATTTGCAGTGCGAATGATTGTTATTCGTCGAAAAAAAATGAAAATTCATAAACGTAAAAAATTTCTCAGGCGAACAAAAATTTTACGTCAAAAATTAAAGAGTCGAAGAATAGCGAAAAAGGAAAAATATTTGAAAGTTGAAATCAAATATATGATTGGTAAGGCTGAAATGTTTGATGCAAAAAAATATGTCGATGACAAAATTGCTGAATTAACACAAGAAATTATACCAACAACATATAGAGGACAAATATTGCCCGAGGCAACGATTCGACAATTTTTAGCGGCAGATAAACAAAAAAAGGAGAAAAAAAGAAATCGCAAACGTTTAACTTTGGACTAAATTTTATTGTCCAAATATAATTGAACAATATTTTTCCTGTATATAAATCTGTAAATTTTTCAAAAATGTGTTTTTACATATTGAAATAATTACATTAGTTACTTTCATTAAAAAAAAAAAGTGTCTTTATTATATAAATTGGAAAAAAATAATGCACGCGATTAATTATATTTAATTGCTTCATCAATATAATTGACATTATAATATATTCTTAATTTTTACATTATATTTATAAAATTAAATATTGCAATATATATATAGTTAAAACAACTAAGATTTTTAAATTTCTTGAAATAAAAAATAATAATTTTTTTTTCAAAACCCTTTAGAATAAATAGGGTAAATGCACTAATTGCGGCGCGATTCGAGTTAAAACATCTTTGAAATAGAAAATTCGACATTTCTATTGTATAAAGTCAATTTAAGACTTATTAAACTAAAAGGTTATGTTATTTAGATGTTAAAAAAAATATTTAACTCTATAAAAATTGATTATTTAAACAAATATGAAAAATTAAAACTAATACCGTAATTTTCTATTGCGTTGCGTTTGTATCAGTTTCGGTGACTAAAATTACGTGTATTTTGAAGATACATACTTTGCCCGCCGAAATTGGAGCCAAAGAAAAACTTAAAAATGTTTCAATTGCGATGTGGGAAAAAATTTGATCTCAAATAATTAAATCAATAATTGTTTAAATGTGCATCTTTATTAGTAATTGTAGGGTAACGGCAACAGTGAAAGAACATTTAAGGAAATGCATACTTTTATCATTTATTATTTTTGAATGCAGTTATTGAAAATTTTTTTACCAATTTTTTTTCGATAGCTAATTAAGTGTAGAATGCGAAGGTCACATTTAATTTTCATAAATATAAGATGTTAATTAAAATTTTAATTAATAAGTAAAACATACCTATTTCACCAGTGAAAGAACAAATTGTCTAATGAAAGAATTTTCTGCATCCAGTGAAGGAACGATGTGAAATATATATTTAAAATATATTTAAAAAATATATTAAAACAAAGATAAAGTAATAAAATGTTTGTAATATACTAAAATAAAGGTAAATTAATGATAATTATGAATATTTTTTAACTAAGTTTGCAGAATCTTATTTTTAATTGAAAATGCATTTATAACCTACAATCAATCATCTACTTGCAATTTATTTTGACAATATTATTGTAACCTAACAGTGTTAACCTATTTGATTTTGTCATTTTTTTGTTTGACTTCAGACTATTCGTTGAAGGTGTTCCTTCATTGAATTGCATTGGAACCAGTGAAAAAACATTTCTGTTCTTTCACTAGTAAATAAAAAAAAAAAACCCCAATGACGGAATTTGTTTTTGTTATGGCAAATTAATATTTTATTAGCTTTTAAATGAAAAGAAGTATTTCTAATACACAAGATAAATTTAGTTTAAAGAAGACCGACGATTTAAGGCAGTTTAAATTAGTTAAATGTGAAAAAAGAAATAACGTGTCAGAGAAGAGTTCTTATTGTTGAAGATAAATTTGCAACACAACATTTTAAAAAAATTTTTTTTATAAAATTTACGTGTTAACTCTCTAGGTATCTTAGATACTAAAGACGTAAATTAAATAAGGAACATAAAAATATATAATTTATAATACCAAATTGCTTATTACACTAATTAGAATGCAAAACATGAAATTTGTTCTTTCACTGGTGTCAGTTCCTTCACTGGTGCCATTACCCTACCAAAAAAAGATTAAAATAATTTTTTTAAAACACTTTGCAACAGTTATATTAAGTATAATAGTAATAATAGTTATTTTTTATGAACGCGCCGTAATTGGTCCACTTACCCTATTATCGCGAGGTTAGGAAACTTCAGTGGCAAGGTTTATAAAAGTTTATTGTATCGATGTTTAAATGTCCACATGAAAAGAATATTTACACGAAACTTTGAGGGAATATTACATTATAAATATTCACCTGCAATATTCAGTCAATGTTGTGTCAATATTCACCTATACTTATTATATTAGTAAACGAAATTTTTATAACTATAGGCGAAAATGTAATATTTCAATATTGACACAACATTGACTGAAAATTGCACGTGAATATTTATGTGTATGTGTGTGTGGATCCCTATTTTGTTTAGAAGATAACTTTAACAGGTTTTAATGGATTTAGATAAAATTTAGTAGGCTCATTTATCATATTAATATCTCAAATCTGACCAAAGGATTTTGAAAAATACTCAAAAAAAAAATTTTATGGTCTTTTTTCCAAAAATTTTTTTTTAATCGAAAAAATTTTTAAATAGAAAAATTTAAGGTTATATATAATAAAATCGTATTCTTTACGTCAAGACGAATCGATCGATATATAAAAAGTATTCATTTGAGGTAAATTTAAAGAATAAATGAAAGTTAAAAAATCAAAAATTCACATTTTGTCAATAAAATTTTGCTATCTCCACGAGGAAGCAAATTTTTTTGCTGATCGTAAAGAGGAATCGGATCAGGGTGTCAATTTTTTTCAACACTTTTCGGTGTATTCTGTGCAAGAATATGCAATAAAATCGTCTGCCTAAGAAAAATTGAATGTTTTTGTTAAGTTTTTTATGCTTTTGGATGCGTTTTTGGTCATAAAAAGGGTCTTCCTCTACTCGGATCTGGGTGTCAATTTTTTTCTACACTTTTCGGTGTATATTGTGCAAGAATATGCAATAAAATCGTCTGCCTAAGAAAAATTGAATGTTTTTGGTAAGTTTTTTATGCTTTTGGATGCGTTTTTGGTCACAAAAAGGTTCTTCCTCTACTCGGATCAGGGTGTCAATTTTTTTCTACACTTTTCGGTGTATTTTGTGCAAGAATATGCAATAAAATCGTCTGCCTAAGAAAAATTGAATGTTTTTGGTAAGTTTTTTATGCTTTTGGATGCGTTTTTGGTCATAAAAAGGTTCTTCCTCTACTCGGATCAGGGTGTCAATTTTTTTCTACACTTTTCGGTGTATTTTGTACAAGAATATGCAATAAAATCGTCTGCCTAAGAAAAATTGAATGTTTTTGGTAAGTTTTTTATGCTTTTGGGTGGGTTTTTGGTAGTAAAAAGGGTCTTCCTCTACTCGGATCAGGGTGTCAATTTTTTTCTACACTTTTCGGTGTATTTTGTGCAAGAATATGCAATAAAATCGTCTGCCTAAGAAAAATTGAATTTTTTTGGTAAGTTTTCTATGCTTTTGGATGGGTTTTTGGTAGTAAAAAGAGTCTTCCTCTACTCGGATCAGGGTGTCAATTTTTTTCTACACTTTTCGGTGTATTCTGTGCAAGAATATGCAATAAAATCGTCTGCCTAAGAAAAATTGAATTTTTTTGGTAAGTTTTTTATGCTTTTGGATGCGTTTTTGGTGGTAAAAAGGGTCTTCCTCTACTCGGATCTGGGTGTCAATTTTTTTCTACACTTTTCGGTGTATTTTGTACAAGAATATGCAATAAAATCGTCTGCCTAAGAAAAATTGAATGTTTTTGGTAAGTTTTTTATGCTTTTGGATACGTTTTTGGTCATAAAAAGGGTCTTCCTCTACTCGGATCTGGGTGTCAATTTTTTTCAACACTTTTCGGTGTATTCTGTGCAAGAATATGCAATAAAATCGTCTGCCTAAGAAAAATTGAATGTTTTTGTTAAGTTTTTTATGCTTTTGGATGCGTTTTTGGTCATAAAAAGGGTCTTCCTCTACTCGGATCTGGGTGTCAATTTTTTTCTACACTTTTCGGTGTATATTGTGCAAGAATATGCAATAAAATCGTCTGCCTAAGAAAAATTGAATGTTTTTGGTAAGTTTTTTATGCTTTTGGATGCGTTTTTGGTCATAAAAAGGTTCTTCCTCTACTCGGATCAGGGTGTCAATTTTTTTCTACACTTTTCGGTGTATTCTGTGCAAGAATATGCAATAAAATCGTCTGCCTAGGAAAAATTGAATTTTTTGCTTCCTCGTGGAGGAAGCTTTGTAGTTCTTTCGTTTATAAAACTTTTCAAAGTGGCGGAAACAAATTTTTTGCTTTATAGAAACATGTTATATGAGATCCTGATCAATTGTCCGGATGTATGCATGTGTGTGTGTATGTGTGTGTGTGTGTGTGTGTGTGGATCCCTTTTTTGTTTAGAAGATAACTTTAACAGGTTTTAATGGATTTAGATAAAATTTGGTAGGCTCATTTATCATATTAATATCTCAAATCTGACCAAAGGATTTTGAAAAATACCCCCAAAAAAAAATTTTATCGTCTTTTTTCCAAAAATTATTTTTTAATCGAAAAAATTTTTAAATAGAAAAATTTTAGATTATATATAATAAAATCATATTCCTTACGTCAAGACAAATCGATCGATATATATAAAGTATACATTTGAGGTAAATTTAAAGAATTAATGAAAGTTAAAAAATCAAAAATTCACATTTTGTCAATAAAATTTTGCTCTCTCCACGAGGAAGCAAATTTTTTTGCTGATCGTAAAGAGGAAGCAAAATGTTCATGTAATGAACATCTGAATTTACAACTGGTTTTAAAAATTCATGCGCCATTTTGGATCCGCCATCTTGGATTTTTGAAAACAGACATTAGATTCGTCATCAGCGACCCTGAGAACCCCCGAGTAACAAGTTTCGTGCAATTGCTGTTGTTTCTTAATATTTTATAGAGTAAACTTTTACTCCTTATTTTGCAAAGTTTTTCTAACTTTGATGAAGCATAACTACCACTTATCCCAACGTAAAATGGTTTTTATTGTGTGTTTTGGAAAGCTCTTGACGCATACTATTCAGATATGCAATGGAAAAAATGCGACGTCCTGGGCCCAAAAAACGGCCTTATTAACCCTCCTCCTTTCTTATTTTTCCAGGACATTAAATTGGATGACTTTAAGGAATAAAAAAATTTTTAGTTCAACTATTGTTTTCATAAATTATTAAAAAATTAATTAATTTCTTAAGTAAATTTTCATTTTACTTATTTAATAAATTTTTTTTAACTTGATTGACAAAATTAGAAATTTTTGAAAATTTAAAAGCAAAATATTAAAAATTCAAGGACAAAAATTAAAATTCCAGGACTTTCAAGGACATTCCAAGACATTTTGTCAACAGGACTTCCAGGACTAGTAGACACCCTAAGTCAAGAATAAAATTTAGATAAACACATCAATAAAATTTCTAAACAATTAGAAGATAAAAACAAACGAGTATTGGACAGACTACAGAAAAATAAATTAAATACTATTGTAATTTTGGATTCTATTCAACAATTAAATACTATAATCAGAAAAATCAAAATGAGAAATTTCGTTCTAATGAATAGTCAACAAAAAGAAAAAGCGAATCGAAAAATGAAAAACCAAAGAAGAAACTTAACAGCATTGTTAGATTACGTGATTGCCACAATATTAACTTTTCGACCACTTTTCTTGTAAAATACAACATGGATTAAGTTGTTATTTTTTATGGAGAAATCTAAAATATGTTGATGAAAGACTGTGATGTCCAAAAATTGTAATATTTATTGAATTAATTATTATAAAATACATGAAAATCGTTAGAAAATATAAGGAATGACGTCACTAACTAAAAAAAAAAAAATTAACACAAAATTATACGAAAAAATTGATCGAAGAATTTAACATTGTCATGATCACGTGACCTAACAATCGCATGTTATTAAGAGCAACTTAGAAAGCAAGAAGACTGAACAGTCTAATCTGATAAATATTCATAAAAAGAAATCTCAAATTTAAAGTTATATTTTTTAAAGAAAAAATCTTTGATAAATAAAATTGGTGATATATTTTTTAAGAGATGTTTATTTTTTTTGATTATTTAATATGTTATTTTTTCAAAATAATTTAATTCATTTTTGAGACATCTAAAATGTGTTAATTTCCAATATCCTAAAATAAATACAAAAAGCCCCTTTCTTTAATTTCATTCACATTGGAATAATTACATTAATTAATTTCATTTAAAAAGTATCTTTATTATAAAAATAGTTTTGAATGAGATCTATCTAGATATACAATTAAAATACAACGATTTAAGATAATGCTATTTACATTTTTCTTTTCTTCTCATTGGCACTCGTTTCGTGTTGATAAAAATTAAATAAAAAAAAAAAAAGATATACGAACACGAAAATTTTATATACATTTTCATACTGATTTTACAATTTAATATCTTGGCAATCCTTTTTTCGGTAAGAGACTAATATAATTATTTATTTTAATACTTAATTCTATCTTGCCGCTTAATTAAACATTAAATAAAACGTTTTACAAATAAATAAGAGCACTTTGAAGATATTTTTCTGTTCTAAACAGTTTGGTACAATATTTTCATTTTTTTATATATATAAAATATATTATTATTTATTTTTCATATATATTTGATCAGTTCACTTGAACACTAACAAAAGATTATTTACAATTTTTTTTTTTTTTTATATAAAAAAAATTAATAAGTACTAAAGGCAAAAAATATTCTTCATATAATATGAAGATTTAATTTAAAATTGTCAATAATATTTGTTTATATAACAAAATAAAGTTTTGAGTCCATTGATTCTTATATAAATGAGTAAAGATCGCAATGACATTGATTTTCTAAAATAAAAATCCTACTTTTTTTTTCTATTCATATAATTGTCGTAATCCTAATATCGATGGCGACGGTAAATTTGCGAGTACGATTCTATCACAAAATAAAGTGACAAAGTCACTTTTTTTAAAAAACAAATATTTTTTTTTATCTCTGCTGAAATAATTCGACAAAAAATGGAAAATTCAATAATGTCTTTAAAAATATATAAATATTAAGTTTCATTTAAAAAAAAAACTCGAAATTAAATTGGATTTTTTTTTTGTTCGCACAATAAAAATTCCGAGACATCATCATTATTAAGGCAATACTTGTCCCTTTTCAATGTTCAATTTTTTGTTCATCCACATTTTACTGTTAAGTCCCGTTTTCAATGTATCGCTTCTACCTGAAAAATAGTCTTCAATTTCTTGTAGGGTTTTGCCTTTGGTTTCCGGCAAGCACAAATAGAAGTACACCATACCGAATATTGATATAAAACCATATAAAAGATAAGTACCATGAATAGTTATGGTTTCAGTTAAAAGTGGAAATGTTTGAACTACAGTGAATACAAAGGCGTGCGCTGACATTGTAGTGAAACCGCCAAGAACACCTCGCACCTGAATTGGATAAAGTTCACCAATCATAATCCATGGAATCACCAGGAAACCAAGTGTACAAGCTGCAGTGTAGAAAATGAGGCAAAAAACAGGAAACCATGTCCAACTATGCTCCATATTATTATCAGTCCAATAAACTTTGATCCATTCATAAATTCCAAAGGCCAACATTGAAACTCCACAGCCAAAGGCAGAGATCATTGTTAGTGGTCTTCTTCCACATCGTCTACATAAAATACAGGCAACAATCGTAAAGACAAGCCTAACAATTCCAATAATCACCGTTGCCAAATATTTATTGATTGTCGCTCCAGAATCTTGAAATATTTTTGCCGCATAAAAAGTCACAGCATTTGTTCCAGTCCATTGATAAATGAGAAAATAGAGCATAAGAATGAGGAATGGTTTAACGGCATTTGGTTTTAGTAAGGCATTGGTTATTTCCCTAAAGCCCGTAAGTCTTTTGATATTATTTTTATTTGAAAAATTAAGAAGAAGATTCATCTCCTTATCTAAATTGTAATTGCTGTCGCGAAATTTTTGTAACGATATTCTCGCTTGTTCTGGTTTATTTTGTGAAATAAGAAACGATGGAGTCTCAGGAAAGAGGAACATAAGAAGAAGAGCGGCAAGTGGAAGAATAGCACTTATTGCAGCGCACACATTCCATGAGAGTAAACTGCCTAGAGAATATTCAATGAGAACACCGGTACTGACGCCAACACTCGCAAATGCTGTTAACATTCCTCGCAAATGTGGCTGTGTTACTTCACTCGCATAGACACGAGCTGGAGCGCCAACCATTCCCGAGCCAAGACCAGTGAAGAATCTTCCAGCGTAAATCATGTTCACATTAGTTGCACACGATATGAGAATCCATCCAAATAGTGCTGGTACCTCGGTGACAATTAGCGATGCCTTACGACCGAAAATGTCCATCAGATAGCCGGATAGTAAGCAACCAATGGGGGTTCCAATTGCCGAAGTACTGGCTGTAAAAGAATAGAATTATATTTATTATTTTCATTTTCTAAATATATTGATAGTGAGTGGCAGGAAATCATTTCTTATAATCGCTTCCCAAGTAAGCTGAAAATGATTGCAATGTCCACTCGTGAAAATGATCGTCAAAAATGTAAATTTACTATCGTTTGCAGTAATTTTCCTTAACTAGGACTAGTTAATCATTTATGAATGGGACACAAATTTCCAAACGTTTTGTGTACTTTTGGTTAATAAATTACGAATGTTACTGAAAAAATGAAACAGAGTTAAGGGTGTCGAACGGTCTCTGAAATTCTTTGGCATGGGGAGATCTCATTGATTTTAAAATAATTTTTTCTCGAAACACTAACACTTTTTATAAAATCGGCCAAAACACCAAGGATCCTTATCTTATAAATTTCCTAAATTCGAAAGATTATGCGAATCTATATAAAAAACGAAAAGTAGGAAAGTAATATAATAACAACTGTGACTTTATGCTCCCTGCATGCTTCTGCCATCTGACGGCGGCAGGACGTAATGTACCTGCCATTATATTACTTTCCGTTTTGCAATCTTGTTTTTGTATGGATTCGTACAATCTTTCGAATTTAGTAAATTTATAAGATAAGGATCCTTGATGTTTTAGCCGATTTTGTAAAAACTGTTTGTGTTTTGAGAAAAAATTATTTTAAAATAAATGTTTATCATTTTCACGTTCAGTGCCGTTTTTATAGGGCGATAATTAAAGGTTTCTCCTTGCCAAAGAATTTCAGAGATCGTTCGACACCCTTAAGGTGTTTTTATACCTTCTTCGTTTTCGGCAAGTGATGAATTTTCAAGGAGAATCACTGAATTTGATGGGTTCTAACAATATTCAATTTTCAAAGTAGGAGATTACTTCCCGATGCTCACCATTATTTCAGAAAACGAGAATGCAATGTAAAAAGTTTAAAAATCTCTTTTCTTGCAAAGGAAAATTATACTAAATAGTAGTATTAACATTGTCAAGAGATAAAAAAAAAAAAATTTACAACTTCACGTCGAGAAAAAGACAGTAGATTACATTACCATAAGAATCTACTAACTATAAATAAAAAATAGCGTACTAAACGCATCGCAGTAAAAAAAAAACTAATTCAGATGAATTGAAATGAAATAACTTTTTTGGCAAGGTGAATAAAATATTTTTTTTTGCCTTTTTTTAAAATAAAAAATAAATACGTACCAATCCATGTTCTTTCGTTGCTGGTGGTCACTAAAGTGTCATTTGAATCTTGTAATTGTACATTGGCAATTGCTGCAAAGCCAAAAACCATTCCCGTATTAATAGTTCCTAATTGTGCGACAATTGCGGCTAAAATTTGTCTAAAAGCACTGCCCCTCGCTCGTTTATCATCATGTTGATAAATATAATTTCCATTTGTTCCTAGGGCCTGTTTCTCACTCTCCAGGAGTGTTGTGTGTTGTATCGTTGGCAGACGTCCTGAATCAACCAGTGACGCTTTTTCTGGATCAAGAATCTCTGTTGATTTTCTATAAAAGAAAAATATTTATCAGATTTTAGAATTTCTTTATTACACAGGCCAACAAAATTAGAAAATTCTTTTGGTGCGGCAAAAGTCAAAGCTGTTTTTGATAGGTTTTTTTTTCATGCTGAACACGAATCCGTAAACGAAAAGTTTCTATCAGCTCTAGTTTTTCAGTTAAAAAAGGGCTTTAAAATGTCAAGAAATCGCATTTTTGGCAAAATTTAAGTACCTCTAGTACTGAAACAAAAGGTCGTAGAACCTTCCACTTGGGCTTAATGATAGAACGTCCAACAGCCTTCCGGCAGGATGAAAAAGACTCACGTGAGTCCCTCCGAAATCGCTTTATAAAATTAACATGGATTCAGATAATCCAAAAGTAAAATATATCGTTGGAAAGGTAAAAACACAAGCTTTTAGCGCATGTAAACATAATGTTTGTAAATTAAAATCCCTAGGCTAGGGAATTCAAAGAAAAAGGACGTTTTTATAGGGTATTTTTGACGAATCCAAAAAAATATTTAAACTGAATTTTATTAAAAATAAACTATCACATTTTATTCTCTGAAGGCTTAAGAAGAAAATGAGTGTAGGTAGACCGAAAAATATTGGTTTTTGTAGATTTTACAGTGAATTTACGAAAAACTGTTTTTTTGGCTTGTTGCAAACATGCAAAGTTTGAAGGCTTCGAAACATGGTTTAATATTATTTTTTTTTAAGTCTAACGCATGAATTTTTTCGTTTTTACGTCTACTTTAATAAGAAAGGGTGACAGAAAAAAATTTTGAGTTCCCTTTTTACCACCCTCATATATATAGGGCCATCCAAAAAAGCCTTCCGGCAGGACGGGCGCTTGGACGTTCTATTATTAAATTGAAGCTTAATGTTTTTAATACAATCCTCAAAAGGCTCCATGACCTCAAAATCATTTGTATTACATTTTTGAGTCGCAAAAATTAATTTTGGAAAAGTTTGAGCGCGTACCTTTATCAATGAAACAAAAGGCCATAGAACTTTTTATTTTGGCTTAAACTATACAGTTTAAACTTTAGACTACAATCCCTAAAAATTATATTGATGCAACAATAACCTCAAAATTGTTGGTAACCATTGTTAAAATAGCTTTCTTTGTCAAAAGTAAACAATTTATTACTAATGACTTTGAGTTTTTAACCCTTTGTCAGTCAATGGCCCAATTATGTCCAAAAAAAAGTCGTGCCACCTTTGTGATTTTGGACATATATGTCCCCATTAGAAAAAAAATACTAAACATAATTCGATTTGAGTCTCAATGGATATATTAAGGTTTTCGGGGTCGCTGAATCTGAATTTGAGGTAAGATTTAAAAAATTCAAAATGGCGGATCCAGTATGGCGTCTAAAAAAAATTTAAAAATTGACTAGATTTGCATAAAAATGGTTCCTTTAGGGTTTTTGGCTAAATGACGGACCCAATATGGAGAAAAAATTTTAAATTGATTTAATTCGTTCAAAATTCGGTACTCGGGGGTTTTTGGGATCGCTGAATCCAAATTTGAGGTCAGATTAAAAAAATTCAAAATGGCAGACCTAATATGGCGATCCAATATAGTAGTAAAATTTTAAAATTGATTCGATTCGTTCAAAATTCGGTACTCGGGGGTTTTTGTGGTCGCTGAATCCAAATTTGAGGTCAGATTTAAAAAATTAAAAACGGCGGATCCAATATGGATTACGGAAGTTTTTAGGGTCGCTACGACCTAAAAAATCCCCAAGTACCGAATATTGAACGAATCGAATCAATTTAAAAATTTTCTACCATATTGGGTCGCCATATTAGATCCGCCATTTTGAATTTTTTAAATCTGACCTTAAATTTGGATTCAGCGACCCCAAAAACCCCGAGTACCAAATTTTGAACAAATCGAATCAACTTTAAATTTTTCCGCCATTTGAAATTCTTTAATTTGACCTTAAATCTGGATTCAGTGACCCAAAAAACTTTTAATACTATATGATATGTTATTTTTTGAGAAACTTTTTTTTTGACTGTTTTGAGCCCACAAACGATTTTTCTACTAGACTGCGAAGGGCTTAAGGTACTGGAAATTATTTTTCAGGGATTGTAGTCTAAAGTTCAATCTTTAGTTTAAGCCCAAAAAAAAGGTTATATGACCTTTCATTTCATCACTGGAGGTACGCACTCAAATTATTCCAAAATTAATTTTTGCAACTCAAAAATGGATTACAAATAACTTTGAAGTCATGGTATTTAAGAAAGATAATTTTTGGGGATTATTGTTGAAACATTAATCTTAAATTTAAGCCCAAGTGGAAGGTTCTACGACCTTTTGTTTCAGTGCTAGAGATACTCAAAGTTTGACAAAAACGCGATTTTTTTTGACATTTTAAACCCGTTTTTTCTCAAAAACTAGAGCAAATAGGAACTTTTCGTTTACGGATTCATGTTCAGCATGAAAAAACCTATATCAGTAACAAATTTGACATTTACCGCACCAAAATCAGTGTTAACCTGTGTTATCTTTATATTTTGGTATAGATTCTCCGCTTCTGTTTATCAAACTTATTTTCTTGACTGAATCGGATGTAAAAATTTAAAATCAGTTAATTCGAACCACTTACATAACTTTAAAAAATAAAGTGTAAAAATTTTCAAAATTTCATGTACTTGTTGATTTTAAAAATTTTGAAAAAATATTTTATGAAGTTTTTCATCACACCACTAGGTGTAATGAATTCACGTAAGTACAGCCAAATCCCATTTAGTCAAGAAAATAAGTGATGAATACTGAGGTGAAATCCGTACTATTTATATAGTTTTGAAATATATAAATAAATGTAGTTTATAATCTCAATGACGCTTGCAGTAAAAAAAAAAAAATTAATAATTGTTCGAAAAATATAGAAAAAAGACAATTATAAATTAAATTTTAAATTTGTTTTAAATTTGAAATGACTTTTATTTTAATTCAGATGACAATCAGAATTAGAGTTTTGCAACTTGGTGGAAAGTCATCTGTATATTGTACATTGTCACAGCTATATATATACTGTCTTTCAGCTGACATTCAGATAACAGTTTAAAAATGATATATATTGAACGTAAAAATATAAGGAAAAAATAATGTAAACAATATTTTTATTTAAATTTGAATTTAAGTGAAATTTTCAGAAATTTTATTTATTTATAAGTTATATAAGTCATCCTCTCGATCAATTAATAAGTCTATACATTTACAATAAAAATAAAATTTCATTCGAAATAAATGAAAAATTTAGCTCTTTTACACCATTATTATTATTATTATTATTATTATTATTATTATTATTATTATTTCTCATTTCTTTCTTTTTGTACGCTCGTGTATATATAAATAAATAAATAATAATTATTATTATTAAATATTGAAAAAATGTAACATTTTTTGCAATAATAATTTTAACGTCAATGAGAAAAAAAATAGCTCATATTGACAATAAAAAAATAATAATTATAAAAACCAAAAGTTAATAAGTATAAAAAATATTTATTTTATATAATAACTTGCGAACGAAGAAGGTAAATATTTTTTTCAACATATTATTATAGACATAAAAAATTTTTAACTTTCTAATTTTAATGTCAAAAACAATTTTTTCCGTTTATTTATTATTTTTTTGTATTTTAATAAATATTTTTTAACAATAAGTTAGAATTTTTTTCCTAATGTTCCTCAAATACTGAAAGTTCAAATGAACGAAATAATTTGTTTGTCTATTTTCAAAATTTTTAAAAAATTACTACAGTAATAAAAAATAAAAAATAAACTACATTAAACATTTAATAATTTTGTTAATTTATTTTTAGATTCAAAAAGCAATATCTATTTTATTATAAAATTTGAAGTTAAAAAATTAGTAAACAAATTTTTCGTTCATTTAAACATTCAGAATTTCAGGCGCATGTTTTTCTGATCTCAACGTACAACCGGTTTTTTGATTATTTTTGAAATTCGTAATATTCTCTTAAAACAATATGTTTGTTATTGGAATATTTATACTTTTAATTTACGAATGTTTATATAAAATTCATTAATATAATAATTATTATATATTATAAATTATTATTATTATTATCAACAATTAATGAAGTATGACATAAATTAATTTTTATTATTTTAATAATTTTATTTTTTCTCTTATTTATACATTTTTATTTATAGGTAATAAATGAAATTGTGACTAATTTTTTTTTTTTTTTGAAATTTGTCGAATAAACTTTCCTATACTTTTTGTGATTAAAGCCATGACCGTAACCCTCAAACCTTGAAAAGAACGTTTCTTATACTATGTTTAGACGCGCGTGTAGTTCGATAAATGTGTTGAAGTAATTGCTATTAACTCATACGCTTTTATATATAAAATAATAGTAAAAAAAAAAATAATTTTATTTTATAGAAATAAATAAAATCCCTAAGAATGTGAATTAATTTATTTATATTTTTCTTTTATATTCTTGGAAGTTTGAAATTAAAAAAAAAATTTATTTCAAAGTTATTAATTTTTTTAAATTATAAAAATATTAATATGAATAATAATAAAAATAATAATAATTAAATGTATATATATATAAATTTTTATTAATATTATTTTAAAAGCAAAGTAAAGTGTTTCCTTAAAAAAAAGTAACACAACAGTTAAGGTAAAAAAAAAACTATCAGAGTAAAAAAGAATAATAATTGATAGTTTACCGAGTAGTTTGTGAGATGTCTTTTTTTTAATGAAAGAGTAAATTTTCTATCAGTAATAAGACGAGGTATATTAAAATACGTCTAAAGAAATGGAATATTTTAAAACATTTTTTTTTTTTTTTTTTAATAGTTTATTTTACAAAACGCTTTAAATACTGAAAAATAATGATCAAAAATAAAGTTTTCAAAGAAAAATAAAATATATCATAACAAAATCAAAATATAAAAATTGATTTTTATTGCTATATATATATATATAAAGTGCAAAATTTTATATT